GAGAGGGAGTCTGCCGTGGACGGTGGAAAACGACGATCAAGGTAATGATGATGATGATCAGGAAAACGACAGGAGGAGGGAAGAGGAGAAGAGGAGGATGAAGGCAAGAGGTGAATGGAGCAAGGAGTAGGGGGAGGAGGAGCAGGGGGAGTGGAAGGAGGAGCGGGTGCAGGACGATGAGGAGAGGAGCGGGAATGCCAGGAGGAGGACCAGAAAGAGGAGGATTGGGAGGAGGAGGAAGAGGAGGAGGAGGAGGAGGAGGAGGAGGAGGAGAGGAGAAGCGGATAAAGCGGAGGAAGGGTAGGAGGAGGAGGAGGAGGAGGATAGAGGGAAGAGGAGATCGCAGCAAGGAATAGAGGAGAAGTGGGGGGAGGAAAAAGAGGAGCGGACGAGGAGGAGAGAGAGTGGCAGGAAGGGCGGGAGCGGGAGTGGGAGTGGGAGAAGAACCAGGAAGAGGAGGAGCGGGAGGGGGAGCGGGAGGAGGAGGAAGATGAGGAGGAGGAGGTGAGGAAGCGGAGGACGCGGAGAAAGCGGAGGAGGAAGAGGAAGAGGAGCAGGAGGCGGGATGAGATATCCCCTACAGCTGGAATGATAGAAAGAATATTAGCATGACCCCTGAGCAAGGATGACACGCAAAAATCGAGAGATGGTCGAAATTAAGAAAAAAAACAGAGATCGAACATGAGGACAATTAGGACGAGGAGGAAGTGAGGAAACGAAGGACGCAGAGGAAGTGGAGAAAGCGGCGGAGGAGGAAGAGGAACAGGAGCAGGAGGCGGGATGAGATATCCGTTACAGTTGGAATGCTAGATAGACGATTAGCATGGCCCCTGCGCAAGGATGACACGGATAAATCGCGAGATGGTCGAGACCAAGGAAAAAAAAAGAGATCGAACATACTGCTAAAAATTTCCCATTTTGCTGAGATGGAACATGACTTCTACGATTTCCCATTATTTTCTGACAACAAATAAGTAAAATATTATAAACGTGAGAGGGGGAGGAGTAGAGAAGAGGGAAGAATAAGAAGAACGGAGAGGAGGACAACGAGCAGCAATAGAAGACGAAGAGGAGCTCAGCCTCATGGGCGAGAGAGAGAGAGAGAGAGAGAGAGAGAGAGAGAGAGAGAGAGAGAGAGAGAGTAGAGGGGGGAGAGAGGAGGACAACGAGCAGCAATGGGAGGTTGACGAACAGGAGGAGGAAATCGGGGGTCTGGGTAGCAAGAGGCGGGAGGAGCGAAAAGGGGAGGAGGACGATGACCATTGGTAGGATGGGCGGTAGGAAGAAATGCGGTGCGGTCGGATTTTCACTGGCACATCACAGAAAAGATGGACGAAACACTCTGTTACATGGATCCATAGTCACGCCGAGTGTTTACACATGTCGGCGCATAGCACACCTCGATCTGCACGTATGCACGTACGCGGGCCCGGCCCTGCACTGACTTCCCAATGCCGCCCGTTGGTCTGCTTCCGTTCCAGAAACTACGTGGCTCCCGTCACAGACGCAATTTTCGTTTCGCCAGCCCTTGAACTCGTGCAAGCACGCAAAAAGAAAACACGGCGCCCCGTCACTCCGAAGCGCCTCCACTGCGGCACCGCCAGCCTTTGAACTCGCGCGGATGGAAGAAAAAAAAAACCTGCGATTTCTGCGGGTTTCCCGTGGGCCCGCGCCTTGTCCCCAGCCGTTTTCCCAACACA